GGAGGCAGGGGTTGTTTGAAAGGGCCCGAAGCATTTGATTGGTTGTACCTTAAGGGCTTTGATTATAGGTAGCAGAACCTGACTAGTTCACCTCAACAGAAAAGACACCCGTCCCTGTGTGCTGCTCACAGGATCCACAGAAGGCTGAAGATGGGGTCTGAGCAGAAGTGAAGAAGGCAAGGTCCCTGGCTCAGCTTGGGAGGACACCGTTCCTTCATTCCAGGGCTTCCACCAACCCTTCTGATACCGTGGTCCCCAGGCCCGGCCCCTGGGAATAGCATCCCAGGCCCTCCCCTCCCTGCTCCAGAGGCCAAGCTCTGGGGGAGCGTCTGAATGGCTGAGTTTGGGCCACGTGACCCGCTCCTATTGCTTCTCTCCATTCATCCTTATTACGGGGAGGCAGAGAGGCTGCTTTCCTCCTATCTAGGGTATCCCCAAGTCTTGAAGCAAAAAAATCAGAAGAGTTTTGAGTTGGTAGGAAGCCAAAATAAAAGAGAGCCTCTTCTTTGAGGACTGCAACTGGACATTTCTCAGGTTCCCTCGTAGCCCCAAGATTCTCCGGGTCTGCTTTTTAGGAGGGCTGGTTTTTTCCTGGTACCGTGGCTGGTAGCACATGGAATGGAGCTCTACACCAATTAGGCTCCCAGTGTGTGTTTTTCACTGAGTATAATGAGTGTGTTAGCCTTTGGCACAAAAGAAAATAAGAATGCACGCTTATTTATAGCATCTAGCTTTTTGATTCAGAACAGGCTGTTTTAGCTGCTGAGCTCCTTTTGTTTATCGGGAAAACAGTTGATATTTATCATTCCTCTTAGCAAAAGGTGGAAGAAAAGCGTTTAAACATTTAATGTTTCTGTGTATACATTTAAGTACTTAGTGGTTATATTGCAGTGAACTGGTTCCATAGAGCTGTTAGGACAAACCTCATTTTTGATCATCATCTGCGACCTTCTCCATGCACAGGCTCCTTTGCCTAGTGTCTGCAGTGCGATCATGATTTCTGTCTCCTCCTCCTCCTCCAATGTCCCTTCTCCCCCAACTCAGTTTCCAAGTACTATCGGTGTTTCACTGCTTGGAGCTCTCTCCATAACAGCCATCTTCCGCCACCTCTTCCCAGCCCATACCACTCCACACCTGACCTCACCATCTTGCCTACTTGGTCTTTTCAGCAGGCTGCTTTAGTTTTTGTTCCGACAGTGCTTCTTAAAGGCACAGTGAGGGCTTCTTAAGGGCCCTTCCTAAGGGTTTCCTTTCCTTATCAGTGTAGCAGAGCCGCTGAGAGGGCTCCGGAGTCAGGTTCGGATCCGAGCTCTGCCATTTACTGTCTGTGTTAGTGAGAGGTGCAGCCAGATGTAATTAATAAAACCAACTCACAGTGATTTAACCAAATAGGAGTCATTTTCTCCCCCCATAACAACACAACGTCTGGAAAGAGACTGCTGTCACAGCTACAGCATGTCGCAGCCTCGGGGGCCCTGTGCTTTCTCTTTCTGCTCAGCCATTCTAGAGAGTGGCTCTTGTCTTCACGCTCTGCCATTCCGGGCTGCATCCCAGGTGGAAGGGAGGGCCAGGGCCGAGGGCAGAGTGTGCACTGGCCGAGCCATGCTGGAAGCCTCACCCAGCACCTCTGCCGACATCACATTGTCCAGAATGAAGTCACGTGTTCACCCCCCCCACCCCCCTGATTTTGGCTCAGCAGGTTTGCCAGTGTGATCAAAATGAGGGACCAAATGTTCATCTTACTTGGGATCTGAGGTTCCCCATCCCATCCCATCACTAGGCATGTAGTAGGTGCTTCATAACTGCTTATCGCTTCACTTTTTAATATTTTTATTAGGGCATGTTTTCACAGTGAACCAGCCAGCATAATATTTGCTGTGACCTTCTCTGTGAATACCACCTAAAATCCTGGAATTCTTTTCTCTCCTCTCCCACCTCCTCACTTCGCCTCTATTATTTCCTGCCATTCACTCGTCACCTTCTCTGTGGCTCCTTTGTCCTTCCCTCAGCCCCCAGCCTCCACCCCTCCCTGTGTGTCTGTCTGTCCATCCTGAGACTTCTGCCGTTGCTCTCCTCTGCCCCGGGTTGGCCACAGAGCATCGCTAGAGAGAAATGCAGCCAAGTGCCGCAGACGCCATTGCACACACTCCAGTCTCAGGTGATCCTGACGTCTGTCTCCTTGGGGTGAAGTGCTTGTTTAAAGCTTTTCTGTCCTTTTTCAAAACTCCGGCCCTATTCTGTTTCCCTGCTTCCACACCCACCTTAGCCCGTCTTTACGGAGAAAACCGTGGCTAGGTAGGACAGCTGCTGGTGAGGGTCCCTTCTCTTTCATCCTAAAGAGCCTGCCTCCTTAAGAGAAGCCAAGCCCTTCCACCAGGCGCCCGTCTGTTCCAGGGACCTGGCTCTCTCTGGTCCTTGGGGACCTAATTTATCTCCTCGGTTTCTTCTCTGACTTTCTTCTGCTTGTTCGTCTCAAGTTGCCTCTGTGGAAAGATAGGTGCATAGATAAAGTCGCTGTTCTTCTACTTGCAGACTCCCCTCCTTTTCTCTGCTCATTAGGCCCCCATGGCCCGGCATCCTCCTGCGCTGCACCCCAGGACTATGCTTCCGGAGCTCAGCCACCTGCTGCCGGGTCCAGGGCCTCTGGGCCCCAGTGCTCTGACCCTCTCCTCGACCCCATCCTGAGACCCTGTCTGTGTCTCCTTTCCTGGCCCCGAGGTTGAGATGCTTCCCACGGTCCTGCCCCAGCTGCCCTCTCTCCAAGCTCTCCTTTGATATTCTTCAAAACCTTTTCTGATGGTTTCAACTGTTTTCTCAAATGTACTTTTTCCCCAGTTATTTTTACTGTGGTCAAATATATGTCTGACCGTCTTAACCATTTTAAAGTGCACAGCACAGTGGCATTAAATACATTCACAGTGTTGTGCAGCCATCAGCAGTGCCCATCCCCAGAAATCTCTTCATCTTGTAAAACTGGAACTCTGTCCCCACGAAATGCTAGCTCCCCCATCCCTCTCCCCAAACCCCTGGCACCCACCATCCTGCTCTCTGTCTTTGTGATGTTGACTCTTCCGAGTACCTCATACAAGTGGAATCCTATCGTATTTATCTGTTTGTGATGGGCTTGTTTCATTTAGCATAACGTCCATCCATTTGGTAGCATGCATCAGAATTTCCTTTCTTTTTAATTTAAGGCTGGATAATAATTCTATTGTATGCTTATATCTCACACATTTTGTTTATCTGTTCATCCAGTGATGGACACTTGGGTCCCTTCCATACTTTAGCTGTTGTGAATAATACAGCTATGAACATTGGTGCACAGATACCCTGTTTGGATCCGTGCTTTTAATTCTTTGGGGTCTGTCTTTATGCCAGTACCATGCTGTTTTGATTGCTGTAGCTTTTTAATAAGCTTTGGAGGAAGTGTGAGTCATCCAACTCGGCTCTTTTTTAAGATTGTTTGACTATTCAAAGTCCCTTGAGAGTCCATGAATTTTAGGATAGGTTTTCTTTTTTAATTTCTGTAAAAAAAAAAAATGCCATTGGAATTTTGATAGAGATTGTGTCAAATCTGCAGATCACTTTGAAATAGTTCTGACGTCTTAATAATACTAAGTTTTCCAATCCATGAACATGGGATGTGTTTCCATTTATTTATGTCTTTAATTTCTTTTAGCTCAAATGTATGTCTTTTGTTAGATTTTTCTCTTGAGGCCCCAGATTGTCTCTCCCTGACATCAGCAAGTCACCACATGATGCCTCAGACTCACTGTGTTCCTTACCAAGCTCATTAATAAAACACCTTTCTTCCCCATTCTCTCTTTATTGTAAAAATTTTCTCTCTCTCATACACAAACACACACACACACACACACACACACACACACATATGTATGCGTATATGCAAGGGTCTTCTCTGCCATGGGTTTGCTCCCAAGTGTACAAGCAGAGGCTCTGGAGGCTTCCTTCAGCCCCTATACCTCACCAGTCATCCCTCCCCCCTCCTTGGGTGGCCGGTCTTTGCTGCTTCTCCAATAGCTTCTTGGTTCTGTCCCTTGGTTCTGAAGTTTCTAGACCATTCTATCCACCTTATCCCTGGTCTGGCTCCATTAGGGTCGCACATCCCTCTCCCCACCCCCCAAATGATCTTTCTAAAGCTCTGATGTGACCATATCCCTCTGTGCAGAAACCAGAGGCTCCCCACTGATGGAGACTGAAGCCTGTTTGTAGATTACCCACCAGGGCGGGCCCTGAGCTGACAAAGTCAGGATTTCTGCCTTTCATAGTTTCTCACAGTGGAATGTGGCTGGGCTGGGGCAGGAAAGGTGAAGGCAGGGACATTAACATACAGTTCATACAGTTATGAACTTGAGGAGCACCACCAAGCCTGGGGTGGAGGGAGGAGATGGAACATCTTTGAAAACGAGCTGCCATGTCAGACTCTCAGTGATGTGGGCCCAGCCCATGCCAGCCTCCCAGCCTGATTCTGCCCATTCCTGCCTGTGTGCCCTGGGCTGCCTTTACACTGGACCATTGGCTGTCATTGAGTCACAGTGTACCCTCTTACCTCCATGTCTCTGCTCATATCCCCTCTTCCAGATCAGAGCTGCATTTTTTTCCTTCTTCATTAATCAAGACCCAGCTCAAGTAGCATTTTTCCAGGATGCCATTTCTGAATTCTGTGATCACTTTCCCATTCTTGGGGCACATGTCGGTCTGGGACTTGCATATGAGTTGTTTATGTATGTGCCTCTTTCTTTGTACTGGATGAAAAACTACTTAGTCAACGGTGGATGGTCCTGGCTTCTGGCACAGTGAATCATATGCTGTGGGAGCTTCTCAGGAGGGGACTGCAGAGGACTAAGTCTTAAGCACTCAAGGGAAGCAGATTTTGTAGGACTTACCTTAATGTGCGTAGACACAAACTTGTCTTACACTTGTCTCTTTGTGATGCTGGCAGTTCTCAGATCTCTGCATTTGTTCTTCTTTCCAACCAGTGCTTGGAAAGAGCCATGAAGTTTGCCTTTGAGGAGTTCCAGCTCTGGTACCAGTTTGCCCTGTCCCTCATGGCCGCTGGAAAAGTGAGTTGCCCCTTTGTGACGCGGGATCCTCTATCGCAGAGCTTCATGCCTTGGAATTCCAGGGGGTGATAGCACACCTTGTAGACGTCTAAACCAACTATCTGAAACTGTCCTGGGGTCTTTTATAAGGGAGGAATCACATATAATGATTTGGGAGCCAAACACAGACACACCACTGAGAAGAGAATTCTGAAATATTTGCCTTTTTCTGGCCATTGTTACTTTGTCATGTGAAGGCAGGACTTAGCTAAGGGAACCAGGAAGGGACTTAGCTAAGGCTGGTTCTCCCAGCAACCCTTTCACTCATTTGACAGTATAAACATACCCCTGGAGGGGGAAATCATTTCATTGTCTTTAGCAATGCGTCATACGAGGCAGCGTAGGATACTGCGTGAAAGCATGGGCTGTGGATCCTGGCTGCTGGAGTCCAGGCCTGGAGCTGCCCTCACAGCTGTCACCAAGGGCAGGCCACTTAGTATCTCCATTTCCTCCTCGGCAAGGTGGAGCTAAAACAGCACCTCCCTCACAGAACCGTTCCAGATAAACGACGTAAAATCCCTAAGATGCGTAGAATAGCACCCCCCCACACACATGGCCGCACACACAATAAAGGTAGTAGATGTCATTCTTGTTATCTCGGGCCATTTAGCGAAGCCACCATTTAGTGTCCTGTCAAGTCTGAGATGTGAGATCATTTGGGCCAAATGGAGACAGAAATTGAGTATGGTGTGCTTTAAATCATATTGTTTATTTTTCATAATAACTGAAGCCTTCACAGTCTTTATTTTTTCTCTTATTTTTGCAATGGCTACACAAGTGAGGAAGAAAATCAGGGTGATTCCAGGAAAGCAGTTCTGTGTTTTTCTAACCACAGTGTACTCCCCTATCACTCAAGAGCCCCCCGCTCCGGTTGTCGCCATCCTCGGTCCCCTGCTTGGTTGGGTTCAAAGTTGAAAAACCTCATTAAAAGGGAGCCTCCTAACCGAAACCCCTCAGGGAAGGCCTTCGTGTTTGGTTCTGTCAAGAAATGTGAGTCTTACAGCAATAATTTCCTTTCGCCAAGTCTGCCCGTGCCGTGAAGGTGTTGAAAGAGTGTATCCGTCTGAAGCCTGACGATGCCACCATCCCGCTCCTCGCCGCGAAGCTGTGCATGGGCTCCCTTCACTGGGTGAGTAGGGCTGGGGCCCCGCGCTCACCGGCGGGCCTGCAGGCCTCTTTCACTTCCAAACACTGAATGAGGACAGTAGCAAGCAGTTCCTCAGCTACGCAAAAACAAGGCCGCTCCGAGCCCCGCACCTCAGAACCCCTCCGGCCTCACCCGCCCACCCCGGGACTGAGGAGAATCATGTTCCCAGGATGCTCTGGAGCCTTCCTTTTCACAGGAGTGTGCTCCAGAGGTCGAGCTGATAAAAGAGAATTGGACCTCGTACTCACACAGACCTTGCTGCATGCACGGAAGGGGCGCGGGCCGGAAAGGTGTATGTCCCCGAGTGATTCACTCCTAGCACGGTGGGGGTTTTCTGTACAAGCGAGGGGTCATTCTGCCCTGCAGCTCACGTGTAAACCAGCGCTGTTCGCTCCTCCTCCACACAGGCTTTCCTGCTCAGGCCCTCCTGTTCACGTTGGGATTTGGGAAGAGGCTCGTTTGTAACAGTTCTGGTCCCTCAAAAATGTACCATTCGAGTAGAAAATAGAAACGCCGGACTAACCGCCGAGGTGGTGGTATGGGTAATTACCGCACACGATCCAGTTTTAATCCCTTTAAGTTCATGTCAGGATTAATTAGAAGAATTTGCTCCACAGACCGAGGTGCCGTGCTAAGGATTTTCGCCATCACGGCCCTTGCAGCTTGTTTTTCTTCCCATTTGTTCTTACGCGGCAGGACAAAAGTAAGTCCTGTGAAGAAAGTGATCTACTTCCGCCAAATTGTACTTGGGGGAAATGTGGAAGGAAAAAGACATTTTGAAAGGGCAGGTTCTCACCTGAAACTCGCAGCTCCGGAGGCGTCGTGTGGTCCCTGCACTTTCGGACCATCCGGCGGCACAGGCAGGCTCCCGCAGTGGGCGGCCGAGCACGCCAGGCCCTTCCGTTTTGAAAATGCCAGTTTCCGGCGGTGACTCTGTCGCGCCCCTTCCAGCCGTGGCGTTGTTCGTGACCGTCACATAGATCTCTCTCTAAGGCCAAAGATAAACCGGACTCTTTTTTTTTTTTTTTTTTTTTTTTTAGGATGAGCATTAACAAATCTTTATATATTTTTTCCATTTTATTATTAAAATTTCCAAGCACCACACAAGTCGAGAGGGTAGTGAACTCCCGGGTACTGTCACCCGGCTTCGGCTCCCTCAGCATTTGCCATAGTTTGAAGAAACGAATCTTATTTGGGCTTCTGATGAATCGTGCGAAAGGTCTTATTGTGGGTGACGTTTACAGAAGCACATTTTCTCATTGGAATCTGCTGAGGCGAGGTCCATGTGCTCTGTGCTGTAAAATAGATGGGAGCTCTGAAAATTTTAACAGATTGTGGGAAAGAGAGTCCAAGCCTGAGTGTATTCTTTTGGTCGTTAAAAAAAAAAAAAAAGGGAAGGACCTAGACACAAAATGTTTCAAGAACTTTATTACATATAAGTATATAATATATATAAATATATACAAATTATATATCAAATTATTATATATTGTTTGTTTATAATTCCATTTCTGAATACCTAGCACAGCCTAATTACAAAAGGGATTAGTAAAAACTGAAGATGAAAAAGATAGAACCCCACCAAGAATGAAAATGACTTTGGAAAAGAAGTTAAAAAAAAAAGGCGATAAGGCAACCTTTAAAGAAAAAAGGGCAAGGTGGGAGCCCTAGAGTCTGTCAGAGAGGCTCGAATAGAGAGAACAGAATCACCAGCGTGGAATCCGAAGATCTGGGAGTTATTTTCACAGTGACTCATCAGAAATCTGTTTTTGGCAGCAGACGCTTATGGGAACTCATGTTAGAAATTCTGCAGGTTGTTGTTGTTTTTCAACTTGTCTGGTTTTTCAGTTGGAAGAGGCCGAGAAGTTTGCCAAAACCGTCGTCGATGCGGGAGAGAAAACGTCAGAGTTCAAGGCCAAAGGCTACTTAGCTCTGGGGCTCACGTACAGTCTGCAGGCCACTGACGGTGAGAGAAGTCCCGCCCCAAGGAATGTGGGCGCCGGGCCCCCTATGTCTGCACTGCAGGGTTCCCACAGCCCTCACAGAGGACTGTCTCAGGAATAGGCAGAAGTTGGGTCAGTCGGGTGTGTCCCGTGGGGACCTGCCCCTCTGTCCTTTTTGCTCCCACTGGTCGGGGAATCGGAGAGCGGGGACAGAGGCCCTATGTGCCAGGTGCACTGTTCGGGTGGTGCCCAGCCTGCACCTGGGTCTCCCCAGGCACGTCGCAGGGCTGTCCCCGTGTGAAGTGATGTTGTGTCTTAGGCACAGGACTGTGAAAGAATTTGGGGGCAGCCTCCTCCAGGAAGCTCCCCTTGACTGTTCAGGATGCCCCTTCCCTACTAGCACGTGTTAGTTCACAGATACGTACATGAGCAGTGCAGCGGCTTGCCAGACACCGTGCGGGGACATGCTTGTTGGCTGTACATAGAATTTGGCGATTCTAGTTCCTTTTTAAAAATCTTGATTATGTTTTGGATACCTAATGAGGTTTTCAACGATACATTTGCAGGAAGTATAAACTGATAAATTATGTTCCTGAACTCTTACTGTTTCCTCAATATTTTGTTGTTAAATATAACACAAATACCAAAAAAAAAAAAAATTCGAAAGCAAATGTGTCATTAATCAATAAGGATGCAGCAGATATCCTTGTAATCACCACCCTGCTCAGGAGACAGAACCTTACCAGCCACCCGGGAAATGCCTCCTGTGCCCCCCCCCCCCAATCACAGTCTCCCCCTCAAGAAAAAACACCATCCTGGCTTGTCGAATATTCACTTTCTTTTTCTTTTTTTATAGTTTTGCTATAGTTTTCTTTACAAATTAAACCAAATCCTCTTTTCCTCTGCCCTAAAATACCAAAATCCTTAGAGAAGTTTCACACTGTCAGTTGATTTTTTTTTTTTTAATTTTTTTTTTTCTTTTTTATTTCTAGGAGAGAGAGAGAGAGAGAGAGCGTGAGCAGGGGAGGGTCAGAGAGAGGGGGAGTCACAGACTGAAACAGGCTCCAGGCTCTGAGCTAGCAGTCAGCACAGAGCCCGACGCGGGGCTCGAACCCACGAACCGCGAGATCACGACCCAAGCGAAAGTCGGACGCTTAACCGACTAAGCCACCCAGGCGCCCCTCTGTCAGTTGATTTTTAATAATGAGGCTTTTGTTGGTTGATTGGTTGGTTGGTTGCTAATTTTTATGCACACGTGTATACTGGCAACACCCAGCACATTGCTTTAACTATGGGTGACTTTCAGTGACGTGTAAGTTTAATGCCGTATATTTATCCAGATAGAGTCATAGGTCAGACCCTAGCCCTAATTAGCCCTGTAATTTTGGGAGAGCTGCTTGACCTTGTTGAGCCTCCTCTTACATTCGTGGTTCAGTTGGATCGCCTGAGATCCCCTCTGGCTGAGTACTGTGGTTCTAAGTTAGCCGTGGCCCTCCGGGACAGCTGTCCACCATTCTCAGTGTCGTGACCAGAGGGGATCTGCCATGCTGGATTGTTAGATGGGGCCTCCTCAGTTCCAACCGTAAGCAGGTTCCTCCAGGACTTTTTCTCGTGCCCTAGTAAAGAATACCCTTCTAGTTCCCATGACAGATGCTGAGGAAGCCGTTTCTCATATGCTCTTTACAGGGGAAGTGTGGGCTCACCGCAAGATGGCCCTACACTTTTCAGCTGATTTTCCAATATCGGTTTTGGGTTTGCCTGGTCTATCCCTTATGTTCACATCAAGGGATTAAAGGTCCTGGCCATTGTCCAGCGTGACTTACACCGGCCTTTTATGGCATCCAGCTAGTTCCCCTGGCCCCATACCATAGTTCTCGGTGCCAGAAGGAACTCTGAAGTCCATGTGATCAACACCGTTGGTGCTCGCATCTCTTCTGTACCATCCGGTAGAGGCAGTCTTCCCCCCAGAAGCCACATGCCTGCGCTTGAGAAAGCAGATGTGCTCCTCTGTGGAGTGCCCAGCTGGTCTTTTGACAACAGCCCCCTATGCCTGAGGCATCACGGTGACCAGCCAACTCATACTCTCCCCTCACCATGTCTCCACAGTCGTGCCCACAGAGTGCAAGTGTCTGGGGGGCAGTCTGGGCTTCATTTCCCAGTGCCCGGACAGGACCGGCCCCACCGTCCTGTGTTCCTTTTAATCCAGTTGCATGTACAGTTTTTATGACGAGCTTTGTATTTGTCAAAAACTCCCTGATCTTCCATGCCACTGACTAATGGAACCCTTTTCTTAGCTTCTTTGCGAGGGATGCAGGAGGTCCTACAGAGAAAGGCGCTTCTTGCATTTCAGAGGTGAGTGGGAGTTCATCTTTTCACTCGGCTGTGCATAATGACACCAAAGTATGATAAGTATAAAAAGAAGAGATATTTATAAAGATTATGTAAACAGTGTTTTCCCCCTGGGAGTCTTTCATCTTCAGCACCGAACGCACAGTATCAAAACTTGCTGCCTCACTTGTTGCTGTGTAAGTCTGCGCTCTTCATCTGTTTATCCATTTGGGCATGTTATTCGTTCCTAATAAAATGATTTCAGCTCTAAGAAGATGGATACTTTGAAAGGGAGATGATTCCTTTCATTAAAGACAATTGTCATCATCTAGAAAAGGGATCATTCTTTTCTAGCCTTTTTTTTTTACATGTCATGATGAAGATTTTTTTTTAATGTTTATTTATTTTTGAGAGAGAGAGAGAGGCGGAGCATGAGCAGAGGAGGGGCAGAGACGGAGGGAGACACAGAATCTGGAGCAGGTTCCAGACTCTGAGCTGTCAGCACAGAGCCCGATGTGGGGCTTGAATTCACGAACCATGAGATCATGACCTGAGCCAAAGTCTGACGCTCAACTGACTAAGCCACCCAGGCACCTCTGAAGATTTTTATAAGAAATGAAAGGCCAGACTTTAGGACAGCTTCTGAAATGCTGTTCTTAAGACAGGCCAGCAAGCCAGGACCCTGCACCACCACTGAGCTCCATAAACCTTGTGATGGTTTCCATCATTATGCTTTTCATGAAATGAGGAGGGCACCTTATAATGAGAGAATGCTCAAGTGCTCTCTCCCCATTCCTCCTTGAACTTGATCCTCATGCCAATAAGGCAGACAGAACAAGTGGCGTGCCTACCACAGGAAAGGGACTGAGATGTGCAAGAGGGAACAGAGTTGCCAGAGTCACACAGCTTCTGAAGTCAGAATAAAATCAAGCTCTCCTGACTCCCACTTCACTTTCCTTGTACCCATAATACCACGCCGCCCTCATTTTATTTCTTGCCGCAGGTTTAATGAATCACCCAAACGGATCATTGCCTGCAGCAGTAGCCCGTGATGTCAAATCTTGAATCGATATTCATCCTATCACCTTAAATGTATCTGAGTTACACTCCAGTTTGTATTAGAAACTTCATTACTTACCAGAAAATTTCACGAGGATTTCTCAATACCAAATAGCCCCTGTTCGATTTCTTCGTCAGTAACTGGGGTTGCCTACAGATTTGTCACTGTGCACGCGTCCCTTTTTTTGTGAAGTCATTATCAGCCAGCTTCGGTTACTGGGGGACTCTTTTGTCTCATTTCTTTTCCTTTCCTAGCAGGTTGCTGATAGCTTCTCCCCTTTTGCCAGCCCCAGACAGGTTAATGACACAGAGTACCACTTGACATCTTCAGACAGGCCTCCTGTCTCCGTGCTAAGCTTTTGTTAACGTTCTTCAGCATGGAGCGTGGAAAGCATTTCCATTTCAAATGATCTGGAGTTTCACGTCCTGCAGTCCTAGTTTGTAAAGCCCACACATGGATGCCTACGAAAAGTAGCCATCACATCTGTTTCATTTTTCTTAAATCGGCACATCTTCCCAACTCTCTAAAAACAGCCATGGCGGTGGTCGGCCTTGAGCTGCCAGGATTCGTAACTTCGTGTTATATAACAGCTGTTCCATTGGCCTGAAATCCCTTTTTGTTCCTTTTTTTGCCTAGGTTTTAATTCACAGAGATTTTTTTAAAATATTGGTTCATATGGGAATAAAGAGTACTAAAATCCTGCTAACCTGTGTGGCCATGTTGGCTAACCTAAATTAGTATTTGTGTGAAATAAAGAATATTCTGCAAAGGAATAAAAGTATTTTGTTTCAAGTACATTCATTAACTAGAACTATTCTAGTGCACTGGAGACTTAACAAAAATCTATAAGGGGGGGATGTGAAGTAAATAAGAATGATTTGTATTCTTAAATGTAAATGGGTCTTTAAAAACCACTTGGCTTAGAAGTGCTTATTTACTGTGTATTGTAAATCTTCTGCCCATAATTCTGTTTATACCATTGTTTGACAATTTTTTTTTTGTTTAAAGAGAAAACATTAATTCAGAAAGGATGACGCTGGGGCTCCTGGCCAGCTCAGTCGGTGGAGCGTGTCACTCTTGATCTCGAGGTTGAGAGTTCGAGCTCCACACTGGGTGTGGAGACTACTTTTCAAAAGAAGGGAATAGGGTTATAGTCATAGCATGTGAAAATTAACTCTTAATTATACCTGGTGTCCGAATTCAGAAAGATTTGCTTGCTAGTGGATTTAAGAAGTCAAGTTTTGAAGACATCCCAGTTGGATGACTGCATGTTAACACCGAGCCCCTCAGCTGTTTGCTGACTCACATACACTCAGCCAAGCAGCCGAACCAACTCTTTTGCCTGGTTCGAAAGTATCATGAAGAAAAACAGAGTTGTCTCTAGAAATTTCTGAAGACGCACAAGTGATCACAGAGCTACTTCTGTGCTCTCACATCATTCAGAGAAATGCAAGCCTGAGAAGAGTCAGCAGCCAAACTCTCCCCACTACCACCACGTGCAGCATTCTGGGCTGCCCCACAAGGAAGAGGTGACACGGTGTCATTCACATTTGCCATATAAAGTGTTACAGGGTGTCCAGTCTCGTTCTCTTTTTCTGTCCCCCTCCTAGCTTGAGTTTAAGTTAATGCGGTATGTTTTCAGCATAGTTCATCAGGAACCGGGCAGTTCCCAGAATATGGTACTTTCAGTACTAAAACCAGGAAAATCCTGGGCAAACTGGGACAAGTTGGTCATCCTATGTGTGTAACTAAAGGGAGGTTCCTGAGTAACAGCTTTCATCAGGTTTGTGAATTTTTTTTCCTTAATAACACAGAGATCCCATGTCCACTAGGATCAGGACTAATGGGACCTTAAGAGTTGGCTAAACGAGGCATTGGGGTGATATGGTGGGAAGACAGGGCCTCAGAATTTTGCTTCTGGCTTTACCTCTTCTGCTTGATGCCTTGGACAGGAAACTTAATAGTAGATGCTTCATAAATTATAGGTATTATTGTTACCAGGTATGTGTCTTATGGACCAGGTTCAAATTGGTCAGCCTTCTCTATATTCTTGGTTCAACTCTAGGGGATGCTGAAACTAGAGTCTAGGAAAGCACTGGAGTGACCTTAAGGAATTTTGAGTTTCATCCAGGTGGTCTGGGAAGCCCAGCCATGCTCTCCAGTAATAGCCTGGTATACCTCTCTTAGGGCATGCTCCCACTGCACTGTAGTGATCACTTTGGGTCTCCCTTTCTGTGGGGCTCTGGGGAGCTTCTGAGGGAAAGACGCTTGTATTATTCTTTCATCTCCAGCCTTCCCAAGAGGCTAGAACACGTCCTTGCATTACAATAGGTACTGCATAATATGGATGGATGGATGGATGGATGGATGACTAGGGTGAATGGATGGATGAGTGTTGGATGGATGGTTGGATAGATGGGTAGATGGTTGGATAAATGGATGGATGTTTGGATAGATGGGTGAGTGGATGAATAGGTGGATAAGTGGATAGATGGATGAGTGGATGGAGGGGTGGATGGGTAGATGGTTGGATAAATGGATGGATGCGTGGATTAGTGGATGGATGAATGACTAGGACCAATGGATGGATGAGTGGTCTGGTGAGTAGATAGATGAATAGATGGATGGAAGGGCAGATGGATTGATAGGTGAATGAGTGGATGGGCGGATGACTAGGTTAGATGGATGACGGATAAGTGGACAGATGGATGGATGGGTGGGTGACTTGGGTAGATGGATGATGGATGAGTAGATGGATGGATAGATGCACAGCCTCAGTGAGCCAGTGATCTAATAATTTTTTCTTTCCTTATGGAAGAGAATTTGGATTAATGGATATGGAGGTGCTGTGACAAGGAAAGTGCTCTGTGAGCATCCCTGTGGTGACATTTTTAGGTCTCTGGGTTTCTCTTAGCAGCCTCACCAGATGCTCACTGTGAGAATGGGCTTTCTGAGGCTGCTTTAAATCCATATGCTGAGTCGAGCAGGCTTACAGTTTTCATGATTGCTAATGTCCTTCCTCTCACCTGCATTGCTTGGTGATTTCTGTCAGGCAGGTTTTCTGTTGGTGTGGTTTTGTCGCAGGAAGCCTGGCTGCTGAAACTGTTCTGCATGACTGAAGCAAGTTTTCTAGAGTCTACATGAGCTCAACACTGTACTTTTTCTTGTTTTCTTGAGCGTTCTCCTTATCTCCTTTTTTCTTTCATAGGCTAACATGGTCAGTTTAATTCATTAGCCAAATTATTGAAATAAGAGTTTTCAAATGCGTATGTTTAAGTTGTGTCCTGTTGGAAACTTGGCAGTTGGATAATCAAGTTGGCAGCCGTCAGGTTTTGTCCTCATGCATCCCAGAAATGCCAAGATTTCTGTCGCTTCTGGTTTGTTTCTTTCACAGTGCTGTGGCTAGCAGTGAATTGTTATTTGAGGAGGCCAGAATGGGCCTTTGGTCAGAACTATCCCCATCTACTCCCTGAACTCCCCACGCCACTGCCAGCTTTTCTTGGTTGGTGTTGGGCAGAAACAACCATAACTTGATTTAACTTCATCTGTGACAAGTCTAAACTGGGCTGAGAAAATTGTAGCTCTGAGGAATTTGGGGCAGGGGGGTGGTTTGAGGGTTGTTAAAACCTGGCTTTATCCATTGTGAAAGAAGATAAAATAAATAATGCTAAATAATTCTAAATAAATAATGCTAAATAATAATAATGCTACATAATGCTAATAATTCAAAGAATGCCAACTAATAATTCAAATAGTGTTCTTCATAATTAAGTTTGTATTCGTTTTCCCTGAATAATTGGGAGAGACAAGAAACCATGACATTCCAGTCTCACTTTTTATGGACACCAAAGAAAAAAACCCTCTTTGATGTACAAATTCATGGAAAACCAATACTTGTAAAATCATAAAACCCAGAGCCCACTGAGGAGGCTTCTGGTAGGAATATGACATTTAAAAGAGCAACACGTGCAACTCTTCAGTCTCAGCCTCTTAAACAAGGGCTGTGTCTTAAGGCAAGATGATGAATGAAGATTCGCAGAAATGGGAGTTTGGGTCCTTTGCTATTGAGAGTAACTAAAGGACAGTCACCACCCCAGTTTCCCCAATCCTGCTCTGGAATTACCACATTTGTCTAAACAATGCCCTACTTGTTGGACCTCATAGCATATTTTCTGGATGCCAGATACCTGGAAGACTTTTTTTAGCCTTTTTCTCCACAGCAGATGGATGGTTTCAACAAAAACCTTATTACTGCAAAAAGCCATCCTTGACGGGTCTGCTGCTGTTGAATCCATAATGATTTGGCTTCCTCTTCTACCTCAAATTTGTTTTCTTTTGGTAGAAGATTCTCCTTTAATCACAGAGTGTTGACAGAGGATCGTGAAGGGTTGTGTACTGTCTGCCCCCTCCCCACCCCCAGTTGTAATTAGTCGGCCCCATAGTGCCTTTTAAAGAAAGTGAAAGTTTGTTTTTCTCTGCCTACCAGACTTCTGAACACTTCAGAGCTATGCCTCGTCGAGCCATATTTTGAGTTACTCTTGGTAAAATAGTTGACTTCCACATAAAAGCAAGAATGACTATGTTTGCAATCAAGTAGGAGGCCAGGACAGTCTCTTCCCATCCACTGTCAAAGGCCAGTTAATAAAACCAAGCCTAGTGTCTGGCCACAGAGGCTTACATGTCATAGTTGCACAGACTACACTAGTAAGCTGCCTGGAACTTAGTAGAAGCTTCAAAAGACTGAACGAGAAGCCTCTTCTTCACACGGTTCATCAAAAACCAAAACCTCATTTTACAAGCAAAGCCAGGTCTTTGATTTTCATATGGTTTCTCTGAAATCCAGAAATGTGGATGAAGGAGCATTAAGGCCAAGCCAAAACTTAACCAAAGCAGCGTCACCTTGCCAAGTACACTCATAGTCTCCCCGTGTCCCAGCATGACACGTGGGCTTCTCCTGCTCAGCCCAACAGAGGCGTCTCCCTGGAGGTTGGGGGGGTCAGACCTCAGGGCCTGTGGCTTCTTCACATCCAGGCCCCTCCTCAAAGCCAAGGATCCCCAGCTGCCATTTCAGACAAAACACGGAAGCATGCTCCGTTGCCACACCCCTACACAGCCCTGAGAGGGAAATCGCGTCACACTTGCTAGTGGACAACAGAAGAGAGTTTGAAGGAAATGTTATATGAATTAAAAACGTGGCCTTAGTATAAAACTGCAAATGTGAATATTCATTGGACAAGAAAGGTTAAAATGGCCTCTCCCGTGTACTAATGGCTGTCCATACTTTTCCAGGGCCCACAGTCTGTCGCCTACAGATCACCAGGCAGCTTTCTACCTGGCGCTGCAGCTCGCCATCTCCAGACAGGTCAGTTCCTCTCACGTTCCCGAAACTGTGCGCGCTCCTTCTTAAGGTTCCTTCGGCGCCTCCACCTGAGGCAGTAGCCGGTCTCCTTTCAGTGACCTGAGGCTGACCCAGACCCGGAGCCTCGTCTCACAGGATGCTGACTCCTCACAGCACAGCCACTGTGTGTTGTGGTCAGTTTGGGCATCTGCTGTGAAGACACAGGTGTCGCGGGCTTTGCTTTGGGAGATCACGTCCGCAAACCTGGAGGGTTCAGAGGGCGACATGGGATGCAGCACATGGCAGACTCCCTCAACCCATGAGTCGCCAAAGAGCCTTTGCCCCTTGCTGGCAGACCCAGGGCTGAGCTATGTGGTGGGGATTAGCCACCGGATGTCATAAGGTACTGGTGATTGACAGGAAGGTGCCGGCAGGTGTGGTCAAGAGGTACCAGCTTCTTTTATAACGTGCAAGAGAGGGACAGTCATAGTGGCTCCCTACCCGCCCCCCTCACCCCCACGTACCGGACTCTCAGCATTCTCCTTGCTGTAGAGGCAAGCTTTCGCTGGCCTTCCTCTTCCCAAAGGCAGCTTCCAGAAGCCATCTTGGCCATTCTCATACCCTCCTGTCCCCTCCCAGCTGCTCTGAGATTCCGGCCACATGCCGGCCTGCCCACCACCAGGTGCAAGACACTGGTGGTAACCCCAGCACATTCCTGAGTGCTGACTGGAGGGTGAAGCAAAGGTCAGTTCCCCAGACATGCCATTCCCCGGACAGGCCTGGGCTATAGGCATGCTGCTGACCCCCCACAGGCCTGGGAATGGTGTTGAGGGGTGCCTTCCAGTGGTGACCCGGGGACCGAGGAAACCAAGATGTCTCCTCTGTGCGGGGCCTGTTGTCCGGCATGGTGGGGCTCCCGGCTGGACTGAGGGGGAGCTTGCTGCCACCACAGCTGCGCACTGGGGGTCGAACCCCCGGGCCCTCCTCCGCCAGGGCTTCCCTCACCCTCTCCCTTCTCCCTCCTCCTGCTCAGCTCTCCTGTTCAGGACCTGTCTCCCTCCTTGGACTTCAGCCTCCTGAGGGCAGGAGCCCTTGTCTGTCCCCCCCGCCTCGCCCCCGCCCGGTAACACTCGTTGAGTGAAAGAACCAGCTTTGGATTCCTTCCAACTCTGTTCTCCCTTAAGGATGGCATGTCGAACCTTGTTCTGAGTTTGTCCCTGACTGCTCTGGTCATCCCCGCAGGTCCACACTGGGAGTATACCTGCCTTTCCACCTTCCTACCAGGAAGCTAAGGGCTGTTCCCACAGTGGGTTGTCTCCCTGAGGAGAGGGTACATGGATGGGGCCTTGCGGGTGCAGCGGCTACCTTTGCAGGTGCTTGGTGTCAGGACCCCAGACCTCTGGGGGCATGTGTCACTGCTGGGCAGGGGCTCCAGGGCCATGGCCCTCTGATCTTTGGAGTCAATGCCATTTGTGCAGGAGGAGAGGACAGGAGAGGAATCAGAAGATCTAGAACCACTCTTGACTCAGTCACTCAATAGCTAGATGGCAATGTTCAAGTCTTATCACCTCCCTGGATGCGGCTCCCTCCCTGTAAACAAATGGCTGGGCTGGATGAGTCCCCTCCCAGGCTGTGACAGCCCTGATTCTATGACTCAGTGGCAGAAAGCCTCTGTAGCCAGCATTTATAACTTAAATCCATCCAAAATGGAATTTCAGGGAGGGAAACAAGTAGGTTTGGGAAGTTGTGGCTTCTTGCTACAGAGTAAGGTTACTGAGGGCCAAGAAGAAGCAGACGAACATAGAAGGGTCTGGACTGGAGTTGAGGTGGGGGGACAGGAAGCCGTCCCTGGGCAGTTGTGTAAGAATACTTCAGTCCCGAGCTCTATTTCGAAATCCAGTGTCAGGTTCTAATTCTCCCCGGTTACTGTTAAACCTGCATGGAATCTCGGGTGTTCAAATATCCACTATGTATGCATTTCATCAACCCTGGTGCCTAGACGATTTTGAAGAAAGTCTTGCACAGCTCTTGCATTTTAAAGGTTAAGGTTTTATCTCATCCAATTTGAATTTGGATACATCTGCTTTGTATGTGACATTGCAATTTGTTTCTTGGATGGAGTTATTTTGGGTTGTAGTTTGGAAAGATGTGGGGTTTTTGTTTGTTGGTACGTTTGCATATTTCCTTGATGCCTAGTGGAGATGTCCAGGACAAAGGAACTTGGACAGATTCATGGGTGTCCGATCATTTGGAAAGCCCTGTTTAATGTTTTGTACTTTATTACGTACTTTAGTTCACTAATCCTTCAAAACATGAGAACAGTTCAGCTAAGGCGGTTTAATGACTCTCAAAACCTCTGGCAACTTGTATGTGTCTCCGTTTAGTGTGAAATAACCTTGGGCATAATCAAGAGTAGACCAGTTTTGTGGAAAAGGAGAAATTGTGTTTTAGAGAGAAACAAAATTTTGGTATTGGCAGTTTTACAGGGAAACAGAGCCCCTAGCCTTACTCCGCGGGTCGTACTGTCGCTTGAAGACGACATCTGTTTGCATGCTTGTGGTGAATATCCTGGGGCATCACAAAGATTAAAATCTGAACATGGCACAGGGTGAAACAATTCTTGATGTTTTTAGAGAATCAGATATTGAAATGATAGCTACTTTCTCGTGTGTGCTCACACGCGTGTCTGTGTGTGTTTCGCAGGGTGAAACAATTCTTGATGTTTTTAGAGAATCAGATATTGAAATGATAGCTACTTTCTCATGTGTGCTCACACACGTGTCTGTGTGTGTTTTAAAAATTCTTTTTGATTTTGTTTTAAACCAGATACCAGAGGCTCTGGGGTACGTCCGCCAAGCTCTTCAACTTCAAGGCGACGATGCCAACTCCTTGCACCTTCTCGCCCTCTTACTGTCTGCACAAAAGCATTACCACGACGCTCTGAATATCATTGACATGGCCCTGAGTGAATATCCAGAAAATTTTATGTAAGTGATCCCGGCTTTTGTTTTCCCTTACTCAGAAGTTATTAACTTTACTTCTTTCCCCCTTCCTTCATTCTGTCTAATTTAAGTCCTTCACGGATAGCCTGAGGGCAAATAGTACAAAATTCCCTTATTCTTGGTTTTCCATGATATTTAGAAACAAACCTAGCCTGTTTGTTAGGTCACCTTATTACGTAAATGTACCTTATCCAGTCTTTCCTAGTGTGTACGTAGCTTTGGTGCACACTAGATGATTCCAGATGGATGGTGGATGAACATTTTTATTTTTTTAAATGCACGTTAGAAAAAATATACCTGTGTATCAAAGTGTGATTTCATAGAAATTCTCGCCCAGAGGGAGACTACGGATTTTTCAAATGAGTTGCTTCAAAGTCAGTTTAAAGAAAACTATCAAGTAAATGCTAATACAGATACACACGGATATGGCATCAGTTATATTGAACGGACTCCGGTGCCTAAAGCCTGGGAAACGTGCCCTGCCCTGTGGCTGGTTTGTTCCGGTCACCGGCAATTTCCACTAGTCCCAGGTGGTTATCATCTTTTAGGCGCCTTCCAACAAGGTACCGACCTCTTTGTACCTTGGTTCTGTTCTCTAGGAAATAGAATTCATTAAATAAATCAATTAATACCTGGACCTAACTGAAGAATTGACATTGTAAACTGCTATATGCATGTTGGTCTACTTGAATTCACAACATTCTTCAAATCCCTGAATCTGGGCCTGTCAGTTAGGCTTTGTGGAGAAGGACACTGTTGTGTGGGTGCCTCACTCGGTTCCCATTTTATCCTCAGTGGAGTAGCCTGGTAACCAGTACACAGTGGCCAGAAACAGTAAACACCCCGCACGCTGGCAGGTTCTAATTGTCTAAGTGGCAGGGGTCAGTAATGGGGCGGGGGCGGCCTGGGGCGGGCGGGAGGGAAGGAATGTAGACTGGGGCTCAGGGCCACGCTCTTCACTTTCGGAAGTCAGTGCCGTGGTGAATTTTAAGTGGCTCGGCTTTGACTTTATTTCTGTGCCTCATCACCTCACTGTTTTTAATCAGTGCGTTTCAGCCGCTCTCCTTGGAAAATTGGTTCACGCATTTCCATTACAAACATTTCTTTGTCTTCAAGTGAAAAGGGCACTTCTCTTCTCCCCATCGAGAAAATTCTCATTATAATCCAGGAAACCTCTGACTAGAGATTTCTTTTGTAGATTCAGCTATTTGTGCAGAGTGAATTAAAGAGCTTTGCCGCAGTGTTTTACTTCATGCAGGCCTCACACTTGCTCTTTTGCACACCGAGTGTATTTCTGGATTTTATCCAGAGCTGGTTAGCCCAAGGAATCTTAAATGGTGAAAGCACTTTTAAAAGGACTAGGCCCTTTCCCCATCAGTAAAGTACACCCTGATGCAGTTGAATTCGGTTTCTCTCATCAATATTCATAAAGCGGCATTCCCTGCCTCCCACCCCAACACCTTCGTTAGACGTTAGTCTCCCGCGTGTGTCTCCTGTGTAGACAGCCTCGGGTGTCATCCAAGAGCAGGCTTATTAAACTAATAGCCACACCACACAGCGAGCAGTAAACAGTGGTGGCTAATATGGTAATGTTTCCAAGTGACAGCAGCTGACAGCCTTTTCAAGTAGAATAAGTAAGGAACAGCAGTAGAGATATTTGAAGAATGCAAGCCTGTTATTTTAATGTTAAGCTGTAAGCTCAAAAAAGCAAAGCATATGGCAGCAGGTCTGAGAGCAGCCGATGACTTGTTTGCTTTTTAAATATTTGTATTTCTTCCTATGTGATGGGAAACTTCTTCCCAAGAATACTTTGTGAAAAGTTGGGGCCAGATGTAGTTGGCACATCCCATGGTTCCTTTCCAACCTGGGTAAAACATTTCATCACCAACCTAAACAAGAACTATGTGGGCACCTGTCCCGAGCGCCGTATTATCTTTTTGTGACAAGCTTATCCCCGGCAGAACCGGAGACTCTCGGAAGCTTGGCAATGCCTCGCGTTTCTCCTGTCCCATCGGCCGTACCCAGACGGAGGACATGCTTGAAGTTTCCTCCTCAGTAACCTACCAGATGGAGGCGAATGCCCTTCCCACAGTTGGGCTTAGGCCTGGCTAACTGTTGGGCAGTTAAAGTGTTGAACAGAGCTTTGATTTAGCCAGCCTCTTAGCCTGATGCAGAGAGTAATAGACTTTTTGGTCCCTGTTAAGCTCATTCAAGGTACTTAAGTGCCAACTTTTATCATTCCATGGCCACAGTAAGGAAAAGTAGTAGTTGAGCAACAGCCGCCCCTCCGAGGACGTTCAGCTTCCTTAGCTAGAGCGTTTAAGGCACTTGTACATGGTAATCACTCAGTAATTGCTAGGAATCCATCTTATTAGTATCGCTAGTCCTTCTACAGTGTTCTCAGATATGATATTTGAGAATCCATTAAAATGATTATTAAATATTGAGTAAAGGCAAAACGTTATTTATTAAATACATTTAAAATGGTAATACAGGGGCGCCTGGGTGGCTCAGTCGGTTAAGCGTCCAACTTCGGCTCAGGTCATGATTTCACAGTTTGTGGGTTCGAGCCCCGCGTCGGGCTCAGTACTGACAGCTCAGAGCCTGGAACCTGCTTCAGATTCTGTGTCTCCCTCTCTCTCTGACCCTCCCCTGCTCACGCTGTCTCTCTCTCGCTCTCAGAAATAAATTTTTTTAAAAAATTTAAAAAATTAAAATGATAATACAACTAACATGTGTGCCCACTTCTTAGTTTAAGAAAAAGAAGATTAATTTGCCTGTGAATTTCCTGTGTGTCCCTGTCTGCCCTATTCCCTTGCCTCTCTAGCATCGCCAGACCTTAACTGCATCCTGAATCCTATGCTGAGCGTTCCCTTGTGTTTCTATACCATATATGTGTGCACTCCCAAAGAATGAAAATCTCTGGTTTTGCATATCTAAATAATTTTAATGGAATTGCACTGAGTATATCCCTATACTACTTGCTTTCATTGCGCAGCATCACGTCCCTGAGGTTCTTCCTTACTGCTGGCAGTGGCAATTTATTCCTTTACAACCATAAGTAGTATTTTATTATATAAATATACCAAGATGTATTTTTCCAGTCAATTACAAATGGATATACAGGTTGTTTTCCGTTTTCAGCTATTATAACCAAAGCTACTGTAGATATTCTTTCTTTTTTTTTTTAATGTTTATTTATTTTTGAGAGCGAGAGACAGTGCACAAGTTGGGGCAGAGAGAGAGAGGGAGACAGAGGATCTGAAGCAGGCTCCGAGTTGTCGCGGGGCTCGAACTCACAAACTGCAAGATCATGAAGTGAGCTGAAGTCAGACGCCTAACCTACTGAGCCACCCAGGTGCCCCTAGATATCCTTGTACGGGTCTCCCGGTGCACATGTGCAAGCATTGCTCTAGGCATTATGTAACAGTGAATTTGTTGGGTCATAGGGTATCTGCATCTTCCATTTTACCAAATAATTCCAAACTGTTTTCCAAAGGGGTTATGCCAGTTTACACCCCCACCAGCAGTGCCTGAGAGCCCATGTGGCAGCATACACCAATACCCAGTGTTTCAGACTTATTTTTGGCAGCGTCATTGCTGGTTAATGGTGTCACATCATGAATTTAAGTCACATGAGGTTGAACACCTTTGTATGCGTTTATTGGCCATTTAGCTTTTCTGTTTTGTGAAGTACAGGGAGAAATCTTTCTTCTTTCCTAATTGGGTTGACTTTTCATGCCAATTGGTGACATTTCTTTATAGATTATGCTTATAAGTCCTTTCCTTGCTTACATGTGTTGCAAAAAATCTTCCACCAGTCTGTGACTTGTCTTCTAATGAACAGAAGTTCTTATTTTTAAAGTGATTGAATTTATCTATCATTTCCTTTATGGATTGTACTTTCTGCATCTTGTTTAGAAAACCTTACTTTCCCTTCTCCAGGGTCACGAAGATAAGTCTCCTAAGTTATATTCTAAGAGCTCTCCTGTGTTACCTTTCACACTTAAATCTAAGGGTCCATCTGGAAATTCTTGTGTTATGTACGTATGGTGTGAAGGATCTAGTGTAATTTTTCCCTCTATGGACCCCCACCTATCTTGGCATCATGTATTGAAAAGATTCCTTTCCCTGTTGCTACACAGGTCCATTTTTGCCTTACATAAAAAGCCCATATTGGGGGAAGGGGGTCCTATTTCTGAGCTTTCTATTTGGTTCTTTCAGTCAATATGCCCATCTATGTGTGATTCCCAATCTCTGCACTCTTACAACTTTATTATATGTGGGATAAGTTTGTCCCTATATCTTCCTCTTCAGGAGTGTTGTGGCTATTCTCAGGGCTTTGAGCTTGCATATACATTTTTTTCCTTAGAGAGAGAGCACGTGCAAGCAGGTAAGAAGGGCAGAGGGAGAGAGAGAGACTCTTAAGCAGGCTCCACGCCCAACATGCAGACTGACACAGGGGTCAATACCATAGCTCTGGGATTATGACCTAAGCTAAAATCAAGAGTCTGACACTCAACTGAGTGAGCCACTCAGGTGCCCCTTGCATATAAATTTTTGAATCAAGTTTGTCAAGTTCCAAAAACAAAAACAAATCTATTGAAATTGCACTTAACCTAATAGCTCAGTTTCAGGAGAATTATATATTTATGACAGTTGGTTTTCTAATCCATGGCCATTATATCTAATTATTTACGTCTTTAAAAATACTTTTTAATGAACTTTTATGATTTTTCTTATAAATATTTTCCCCATTTTTTACTAGATTTATTCCTAATTACTTGAAAAAATTTCCATTTGTATACACTATGTATGTAGCATTTTTTCTTTATCACTTTGCTGTCTATTTGTTGCTAGTGTGTAGAAAGGCAGCTAATTGGGGCACCTGAGTGGCTTAGTCGGTTAAGCGTCCGACTTTCGCTTAGGTCATGATCTCGCGGTTCGTGGGTTCCAGCCCCGCGTCGGGCTCTGTGCTGACTGCC